CACTGATTTGGGGGCTTGGGTAAGTTGCGATTCACCTTGTGATAGTTCGGTGATGTTTCCCCTTCATAGATTGCTTCAAAGCTTGTATTTTCACTTATTTGGGTAAGTGTATGTGTTGTGATTCACCTTGTGTTTCCCCTTCATAGATTGCTTCAAATCTTGTGTTGTCACTGATTTGGGTGCTTGGTTAAGTTGCAATTCACCTTGTGATAGTTCGGTGATGTTTCCCCTTCATAGATTGCTTCAAATCTTGCGTTTTCTCTGATTTGGGTGCTTGGGTAAGTTGCGATTCACCTTGTGATAGTTCGGTGATGTTTCCCCTTCATAGACTGCTTCAAAGCTTGTGTTTTCACTGAATAGGGTGCTTGGGTAAGTTATGATTCACCTTGTGATAGTTCGGTGATGTTTCCTCTTCATAGATTGCTTCAAAGCTTATGTTTTCACTGATTTGGGGGCTTGAGAAAGTTGCGATTCACCTTGTGACAGTTCGGTAATGTTTCCCCTTCATAGATTGCATCAAAGCTTGTGCTTTCACTGATTTGGGGGCTTGGGTAAATTGCGATTCACCTTGTGATAGCTCGGTGATGTTTTCCCCTTGGGTAGATGCTTCAAATCTTGTGTTGTCTCTAATTTGGGTGCTTCGGTAAGCTGCGATTCACCTTGTGATAGTTCGGTGAACCTTCCGCTGGGTTAGATGCTCTCAAACTTGTGCCGTCACTAATTTTGATGCATGTCCAAGTTGCGAATTACCTTGGGATGCTTCGGTGAACTTTCCGCTGGATTAGGTGCTCTCAAAACTTGTGCTTTCACTAATCTTGATGCATGCGTAAGTTGTGAATTACCTTGGGATGCCTCGTGAACTTTCCTCTAGGCAGATTGCTTTAATCTTGTTATTTGGCTATAACGGTGTGTGTATGTGTGAGTGCTGCAGTCCCCGGTAACTTGTGCAATCCATCTTTACCCCTTCCTGTACCCCGTAACACTCGGTGTGTATATGAGTGAGTGCTGCAGTCCCCGGTAACTTGTGCAGTCCATCTTTACCCCTTCCTGTACCCCGTAACACTCGGTGTGTGTATGTGTGAGTGCTGCAGTCCCCGGTAACTTGTGCAGTCCATCCTCACCCCTTGCTGTACCCGGTAACACTCAGAGTGTGTATGTGTGAGTGCTGCAGTCCCCGGTAACTTGTGCAGTCCATCTTTAACCCTTGCTGTACTCGGTAACATTCGGTGTGTGTATGTGTGAGTGCTGCGGTCCCCGGTAGCTTATGCAGTCCATCTTTACCCCTTGCTGTACCCAGTAACAGTCGGTGTGTGTATGTGTGAGTGCTGCAATACCCGGTAACTTGTGCAGTCCATCTTTACCCCTTGCTGTACCCAGTAACACTCGATGTGTGTACGTGCGAGTGTTGTAGTCCCCGGTAACTTGTGCAGCCCGTCTTTGCCCGTTGCTGTACCCAGTAACATTCGGTGTGTGTATGTGTGAAGTGCTGTAGTCCCCAGTAACTTGTGCAGTCCGCCTTTACCCCCTACTGTACCCAGTGACATTCGGTGTGTGTGTGTGTGAGTGCCGCAGTCCCCAGTAACCTGTGCAGTCCATCTTTACCCCTTGCTGTACCCAGTGACACTCGGTGCGTGTATGTGAGAGTGCTGCAGTCCCCGATAACTTGTGCATTCCATCCTTACCCCTTGCGGTACCCGGTAACACTCGGTGTGTGTATGTGTGAGTGCTGCAATCCCCGGTAACTTGTGCAGCCCATCCTTACCCCTTGCTGCACCCAGTAACATTCGGTGTGTGTATGTGTGAGTGCTGCAGTCCCCGGTAGCTTGTGCAGTCCACCTTTACTCCCTGCTGTACCCAGTGACATTCGGTGTGTGTATGTGTGAGTGCTGCAGTCCCCGATAGCTTGTGCAGTCCACCTTTTTGTACCCAGTGACGTTCGGTGTGTGTATGTGTGCGTGCTGAAGTTCCCGATAACTTGTGCATTCCACCTTTACCCCTTGTTGTACCGGTGACATTCGGTGTATGTGTGTGTGTGTGGGGTGGGGGGGGGGGGGGGGGGGGGGGGGGGGCTGCAGTTCAGTCCCTTCCCCATTTTTAATGTAACCGGTGACTTCCGAAAGTGATATGGGCCAGCCAGGCACCCGAAGTAGAAAACAGAGGCACGGGGCTAGGACTTAGGATACGTCCAACGGGCCTTCTTTCACGTCCATCTTCCATAGCCGGACCACCCCAACCCTTCTCCCTCCTCCATCACTCACACCCGTCCACCATAGCCAGCCACATCCAACCCTTCTTCTTCCTTCATCACCCACACCCATCGACCATAGCCGACCACCTCCAACCCTTCTTCTTCCTCCATCACCCACACCCATCCACCATAGCCGACCACCTCCAACCCTTCTTCTTCCTCCATCACCCACAACCGTCCACCATAGTTGACCACCTCCAACCCTTCTTCTTCCTCCATGACCCACACCCATTCACCATAGCTGACCACCTCCAACACTTCGTCTTCCTCCATCACCCACACCTGTCCACCATAGCCGGACCACCCCAACCCTTCTCCCTCCTCCATCACTCGCACCCGTCCACCATAGCTAACCACTTCCAACCCTTCTTCTTCCTCCATCACCGACACTCGTCCACCATAGCCGACCGGCTCCAACCCTTCTTCTTCCACCATCACCCACACCCGTCCACCATAGCCGGACCACCCCAACCCTTCTTCCTCCTCTATCACCCACACCCTTCCACGATGGCCGACCACCTCAACCCTTCTTCTTCCTCCATCACTCACACTCATCCACCATAGCCAACCACCTCCAACCCTTCTTCCTCCTCCGTCACCCACGCCCATCCACCATAGCCGATCACCTCCAACTCTCCTTCCTCCTCCATCACCCGCACCTGTCCACCATGGCCGATCACCCCCAACCCTTCCTTCCTCCTCCATCACCCACACCCACCCACCATAGCCGACCACCTCCAACCCTTCTTCCTCCTCCATCACCCACGCCCGTCCACAATAGCCGACCACCTCCAACCCTTCTTCCTCCTCCCTCACCCACACCCGTCCGCCATAGCCAACCACCGCCAACCCTTCTTCCTCTTCCATCACCCGCGCCCGTCCACCATAGCCGACCACCTCCAACCCTTCCCCCTCTTCCATCACCCACACCCGTCCACCATAGCCGACCACCCCCAACCCTGCTTCCACCTCCATCACCTACACCTGTCCACCATAGCCGACCACCTCAACCCTTCCTCGGTTATCACCTCCCTCATCCACTCGAGGGTCGGAGAGGCCGCAAGCGGACGCGGGAAGTCCCGGGTAGGGCCGGTTAGGAAGAAGCGAGGATCAAGGTCGATTAGGACGAAAAACTTCTTGATCTTTCTCTCTCTCTCTCTCTCTCTCTCTCTCTCTCTCTCTCTCTCTCTCTCTCTCTCTCTCTCTCTCGCTCTCGCTCTCTTCTCCCATTCCTTCAAACTCTTTAATCCTCACCCCTTCCCTCTCCCCTTCCCCTCCATGGCATGTGACTAACCTCTACCCTCACCTGTTACGCTGCAAGGGAACGAACGGAAAGGAACTTAGTCCTCATTTGGTGGAAAGCGAGGGCAAGGGAAGGGCTGCCAGTCCCTTGTGCCACCAAGAAGGAAAGGATACTGGACTATTGAGTGCATTTGCGAAAGCGAAAAGGAGTGCTGATTTTGGACGAGGTCAGTTTGACTCAACCATCCTCCCGGAATGCATGACTGAGGCGATCGCATGGCTTGCCTGTGTGAACGGGGAGGGAACTCATAAGGGAAAATGGAAGGCAAAGACAACTTAGGATYGCGRGAAGGGGGGCGATGTGTTGACCCCAATGGGGATTGTACTTGGTCATTTGTCTTGTGTGGTCTTGCGCAGGTGAGTAGCTAGGGACGGTTTGGACGGGGCTGGACCCGCGGATGAGGACTAGGGTGGGAAATTGGCTAAGGAAAGGACTTGGATTCGGCTTAAGCCATGGATGCGGGATGAGTTGAGACCGGGCGGTTGGGTGGATGGTTGATGCATGGACTTGGTTTGTGTGGAGGTTGCATGGAATATCTCTCTCATGTGCAATGCGACCCTTGAAAGGACTAAGGGCGGTCTTGGATAGGTGATGCGATGCTAGTGGCTCTGGCAAAAACAATATAGCGGCTAGGGGTCCGGGCGACGCCGTCCTACCCCAAGGATGCTGTCGGGGCTGTCCCGAGCCACTAGACCTAGTGAAAAGGTGCATGGCCCAATGGATGACGCTTGGCCTGCGCATGGTAAGAAGATAAACTCTCAATGAATTCCCTAGACTGCCTGCGTATTGGAAGGAGCAATTGCCTGGTCAGACTTAACTGAATCGAGAAAACGCCACAAGTGCCAAAGAGCTACCATCTTGACGCGAGAGGGGAGCTACATCCCCCAATGTAAAGCCCTCTCGCAACTGGCCCATCCCCCATCCATCTCAAAGCACTAGGTGGGGGTGCCCCTGGGACGAACGACCCGCGCCCTGAGCGTGAGCGTGGGCGGGTCGAGCCAAGTGGGGCCCGCAGTGGGGTCGACCAAGGCTCGAAAGTCCTTCAGGGTATGGCCCCTACAAAAAATGGTGGAGACGCCGGGTATGGGTTTAACTGACCCTGACGATCTCCAGGGGGGCGCCCGACGCATGACCGCGTACATAACCGAAGAGAAGGAATGAGGACTTGTGTGTGCTCTATCCCTTTGAGCGAATCAGATTTGAGGGTGGTTGGGCGCATGGCAAGGCCAGGCCTGGAGGAAGAACATGCATGCTTGCACTTTTGATCAGCCATCTCCTTTGGAGATGACTCTAATCCTCCTTCCCTTGGACTGATGTTCGTCAGGCCGGGGAAGCCTTGGGCAAGCCGCAGGTCGACCTTTCCTCTTCGTGCGAAAGAATGGCTCCGGTTAGCTGGCAGGCGATTGGGATTCCGGACTAGTCCGGGTTCCGATAAAAATCCCGAGGCGGAGTGCGACCGACATGGGTGCTCTCTTTCCTTTTCTTCGGAGCCCAACGGGCTCCATGCACCACACTTAATGCTTGAAGGAACTTCATATGAACACAAAGGGTAATCGAGAAGGAACAATCCTGCCCTATGAACGGACACACAAGCAAAGATAAGTGAATGAAGGGAGTTGCTAGACTCCAAGGAAAACTAGCTCACCCTTGAAGATGCTCACGAGAAGGAACCGGGCACTGTGTATGGATATTCGGGGAGAGTGGCACGCACTGTCCTGAGTGAAAACCTATGAGCAATGGGTAGGAAGCGCTGGGTGCACCTGGGGAAAGGCATTTGTGTTATGTGTGTCCCACTTGGGGCTTGTGTTTGCATGATGGGGATTCGAGCGTCCTGCCTTTCGGAAGGAAAGGATTGGTTTGCGCCGGCCGGTGCGGGACCGGGTTCCGTGTGTGGGGGTCGGCCACCGGGCTGTCAGGCAAGGGTTGGTCCCGTCGGTTGATTAGTAGTTCTCACCCAAGCGGTCCGAGCATGGCTCGAGCATGGCTCGAAGACCTTGCCCAGGCGGGGTGTGAAACGTCTTCAGGCGGGGCGGCTGCTTGTCGGCAGGCGGCAGGGGGACCACTGCATACGGGGCAAGGAAGGAGCCTCGGAGGCGATTGAAAGCTTCTTGTAGCATGGCCTGAAAAAAGCTGATTCTTGTCGGACCAATGGAAGTGAATGCCTGGACGGCCGGCTCCAATGGCCTCACCGAGATGTGCGGGGTGATTCCCGAGATTAACGGTGGGTACACGAGTGGCAAGTCGGGATGGGGTATTCTGGGTAAGGAGGAAAGGGCGAATGCCTTGCCGAGACCTGGGTACCGCTCTCGCGACGGTTGAGCTGTGCTTGAGGTATAGGGTAAAGCACTGCCGATAGTAACAGTGGAGAGACCATTTCCGGGGAAGAGGTCGGTGAGGAGATGACCGACCTGTGTGTGACGATTGCCCGAGTTCTGTTTTTTGTGCCTCCCTCTGTAAAGTTGCCTGATGAGTGTTGGATGGGGATCGAATTTCTAGTCTATTCTCAACCCCTGCCTAAGTCTGCACGAGTGAGAGAACATGAGGAAAAGGCTGGATAGGAGTAGGAAGAGAGTGGAACCAAGAAAAAGGAATGCGAGCGGCTGGATATCGATTGGGGGTATATAAGGCCAATGGCACCTGGGAAATGAATAAGAAAAGTTAGGAACACCCAGATGAGGGGTCTGAAAACAACTCTCATCTAGAAAAGGAAAAGCAAACCATTTGACCACGCGGGGCCGTGTGGTGCTCTCATGTGGGAAACAGGACAAGCGCCGGGAAACGGGGTAACGGACCGCATAATGAGTAAATACTTCCTCAGGCAGTTTTCCGAGTTTGATAAAGATAAGATTTTGTCAGCATACCAGTAGACCAGTAAGTTCGAATACACGAGAGATGTGGACTTCAGCACCGTAACAGACCTTGTGGAAAAGACAGTGGTCACCGAGACGCTAGCCCTGCTTAAGGAAGGGGAGGTCATAAATCTGACCGGGAAGACGGGGGATAAAGTCAAGAAGGGGATAGAGAGCCTGCACGAACGGGTGCACGAGGTTGACAGCAAGACGGATAGAATGGAAAATGCGCTGTTAGTAATGCAGGCGCAAGTGTCCAGACCCCCTCCCGCCCCAAGAGGCCGTGGTTCCGACAACTGTAGCAAACCGGGGGTTTGGCAGGAGGGACCCGACCAACGAACAATGCAAGTATTGCACCATGATCGGGCATTTTGTACGGGCCTGTCCGAGACTCAATCACGATATCGAGCGGCAGAGGTGCAGTAGGTCCCTCAAAGGCGAGATCCTCGGACCCAGGGGGGAGCGTGTTAATTGAACTCACCATGTGGGATGCGGCGAGCCGTCATCCTCCTGAATAACTTAGAGATAGCTTCCGTAGAAGCAGAGCCAATAGTCGAGATTGTCTGGGACCAGCCAAGGGGACGGGGACCACAGGCCAATTTTATCCTAGAAGGCAATGGTCAGGATAGGGTAAATACTACCACTCGCCGGGCCGGGGCAGAAAATAAGCTTATTCAAGATACAGTAATGGAGGAACTCGCAGGGACTAGCACGGGCCAGCAAGAGACCGAAGCCGCGGAACAAGAGAAGGTCTATGGGAAGCCAAGGGAGGATGAACTGGTAGACAAGGCTACGGCCGCAAAAATAAAGTTCAGGTATCAAATTCCGATCCTGACTTCGCCAGAAATCGATGGCACCTTGAGTAAGCTACTGGGTACCATGGTATCGGTGTCTTTTCAGACCATGCTGCAAGCCAGCCCAAGGCTGCTTAAAGGACTCAGGCAGTTGCTAACGCGTAAGCGCGTAGAGGTAGAGGAGGCCCCGGAACTGCAAGAGCAGGACACGGAGGAGGCCGAGGCGCCGCAAGGAGTCTCCAACCTCCAAAGCATTCCAGGGGGCCTGGGAGAGTTGGAGAAAGCCTTTGCGGACATCCACCTAAGCCTACCGGACCGTGAAGGTGGCGAAGTCATGAGCGCGCCACCCGGGACAAAGCTTAGCTTTCATGCATTACCAGTTGGGAAACTTAAAGTTCAAATTGGAACTCACCACACTGACGCGTTAGTGGACGGCGGAGCAGAAATCACCCTCATACGACGGGATTTCGCAACGGTCACGGAGTGCACGCTAAACAAGGAAGTAGCAGGGAGTATCCGGGGAGCAGGTGGCGAAATTCCTTTCACAGGGTATGTCACCAAATGTGCAGTCAGGGCGGGAATCCGGGAATCCATCTGGTCCTTTCAGCGGATGACCGTGATGGAAGAAATGGATCACGACGTAATCCTCGGGAGACCGTGGTGCGCCAATGTGGAAATAATAGGAATGCATCTGCACGACGGCACATACATGGTAGACATAGAGGACCCGGTGACTGGCCGCGGGGAACTTCTCCGACTTCTTGCGACCGGAGGAGACCCTCCGAAGGGCAAATTGGCAACCTGGTCTCCAACATTCGAAGAAAGTGCGCGGAAGCGGGCATTCGCACGAATGGAAGGCATGAGGGAAAGGGTAGAAATTATGATCGAGGAGGCTTTTAGTAAAAAGGAATGGATCAAGATGGGTCTGCCCGTAAAGAA